AAGATGGGAATGTAGCCGATGGTATATCATGTACGTCATATCAGCAATATCATATACTTCGTATATCCACGATATTTTGTAAAACAATACAGGAGAGGCCCTGTATGGTATAAAAATTTATCTTCTGTGTCATAAGCGCTGGGAAGGCGAGCCGGGTCAGCACATGGTTGTATCAGCCGTAACAGCTGACCGTCAAGAAACGTGTTTGTGTAAGGGGTCGTGCCATAGGAAGTGGTGGACGGCTTCTTCATATGTGCGATGATGTGAGGATTAGCAAGATCGGCGACCTAACTAAGTATAACATGTGAAGTAGAATTTTACTTGGCGTTGAGCTGTGTATGTTTAGTGTGAGGGCAAGTTCGAGGGGAAACTCGTGCCGGTCGAGACGCCCATATCATTCTCGCATCAGACTGATATTCTGAATTTAGCAATGCGTATGTATCCAATATTGTAGGAAGTTTTTATTATATAATCTAACGGTTCTAAACGTGCGTTGATATTTAGTGGCTTGGTATATTGTTTGCTTTTGTAAAATCGATGTATTATTTAACAGTTTGACTGGCTACTGAATAAGCCTGTCGGCAACAGACGGTGGGAAAGGGCAGCGCAGCGGCGGACTGCCAAAGCCACGAGACGAGGAAATCCTGGAAATCACTGGACCACAAAAACCTGTTATGTTTTTATTGCAGAGGTTAAAAACCAACGATTGTTTGAGTTATTACAGAATCAGAAACCCACTGTGCTGTTTTTTTTTCAGAGTTAAAACCATGGAATCAGCACCCCATTGCCATTTGACAAATCAAAGGGGTACTTCGGCGGGCTCACACATATATATGCATTTAGATATGAATGTATATGTGTTATGCACACAGACACATGCATATATATATATATATATGATATATATATATCTATATATAAATTAGTGATATATATATACATTATAGAGGGTTCGTGTGTATTCGTGTGTGTATGTTGTATAAATATATGTAATATGAATATATATATATATGTTCGTAGATATTAATATTGATTTAATAATATATAAATACATATATAGAGATATAGGCATATGTGTGTGGTGTGTATATATGTATATACATACTTATTAATGTATATTATACACCATATATATGAGTTATATACATTATCAGTACATATATATATACATATATATAGAGTATATCCTATCTATATCATATATATCTATAGTAATCATATATTATCTCTATAACCTAGTATGAGGGTTTATGTGTGTGTGTATGCCTCCGATATAGTACTGCATATATAAATTCATATATATATATATACTATTATATAGAGTATATATATATATATAGTATATATCTCGAAATCTATTCTATTATTATGTATCTATAATCTAGATACTCTATATATTCTATATATATATATATATATATATTTATATAGTATATATATAGCATATACGGTTTATGTGTGGTGTGTAGGCATACGTATATACTGAATAAATAATTCCTATTATATCTATATATAAAAGCTCTCATATCTCATAGGTTCTAGTATCTATATCTATTATATAATTATACTATATATTTATATTTATACATCTATTGCATATATATAGTATATCTGCCCTAGTATCTGTGTATATTATATCTAATATCTTATACTACACCCCGTATATGCCTACACATATACATGCATATTACATTCATATATGTGTACTATATAGACCTATATATACATATATATATATATAGTATATATCTATAGGTATCTATATATACTATATAGGTATATCTCTATATTTCTATATGCAAACGATATATACAGCATGCAATATAATGCATTCCATATATATGTGTTTGTGGATATATATATATTATAGATTATATATATATATATATATATTATATATAGTATAGTATATTATGCATACAACATACATGCTTAATAGCATTCATATATGTATATATACAATTTTTTCTATTAATCAGTTTAGTTATTTATATTATATTTGCGCTAATATAAATAATGGATAGGGCATTGAGGTGGACCCCCCGGGAAAATATATATTTTTTTTTTGCGGATCCAGAATTTATGGACATAAATAGAGTTTGGCCACAGACAAACGGTACTTTAGGGTTAATAAGGTATATATATGAATACACACACACACACCACATATATATATATATATATAATATATATAATGGTGTGGTGTGTGTGTGTGTGTGGTGTGTGTGTTGTGTGTGTGTTGTGTGTGGTGGTGTGTATAGTTGTGTGTGTGTGTGTGAATATAGGCACAGGGTACACATGAGACGCAAGGAGAATCGATCAGCCGACTTCCGAGAGTTGCAGCGGAATACTTGCGAATCATCGGACTCGAATACTCTTGTAAATGTGTGTGACATATATATATATATATATATATATATATATTATATATATATATATACTATATATATACTTATATATATATATTATATATATATATATATATATCCGCTCTTCAGATAACTAAAGTTTTCATCACTTTAGAAGGGCCAATCATATGATTTTTCCCATTAATCCACTTTGTCATATTTATATAATCGACATCTATATACATTGAAATATTATGCTTTGTATGTATATCAGCGAGATTTATTTCTATATATATATATAGATATTATATATCTATAATAGCCATATATCGATGTTTTCAACCTTCGATATATTTTTGATCTCCTTTCGGCCTTCGTGACGACTGGGTGAGTCAGGACGGGCTGCAAGTGGCTACTCGCCCTGGAGCAAAAGTCCCGTCTACATGAGAGAGACTTCAGGAGTTATCACTCTTTGCTGAAGACGGTATAGGACCCGGCGCGGATGCAGAGGGGAGAGGAACGACTTTTCATAGTATGCCTTTTTGAAACATTGAGGGCGTTGGGATGGTTTGAAGAAAGGTGGACGGGAAGCGAGGGGAGGGAGGAGATGAAGGGATCGAAGGAGATGGGGTGGTGGAGAGAGGGAAGGAGGAAGGGAGAGAGAAGGGAAAGAGAGAGAGAGTTAAAAAGTAAGAGGGAATGAAAGAAAGAATGAGAAGACAGGAGATGAAGAGTGTAAAGAGTAAGATTGTAATGAGAGTGTAAAAAGGGCTATTAGACAAGGACCGTTATACATGGTTATGCAGGAGTAGTAATAGGGGACGATGGTGCTTACTCTTTATTTCTGAGAGTAGAAAGCAACACAGATATAGACACACGAAACAATTCTTGGTAAGCGCGGAGTGCCGGTAGTCGCGGTCACCACTGAGTTTACCCCCCCCCTCCGCCCTGAAGGCCGTATGCCGTGGGGGCGCATTTCTTGACCCTACGGGCGCTGTGCACTAACTCTCGTAACCTTGGTCCATCCTTGGTCCTTAAGTAGCGAGCTGCCGCCGAGAACCTCCGGCTTGGGGACGTCACCTCGAGGCGTGGTACGCCACGTGCGCATCACGCAGCCTCGTGGTCATATAACTGTGCTTACACGGTATAGAGAGGAGAGAATCTAAAGAGAAAGAGAAAAAGATAGAGGGAGAGATGAGTTAGAGTAGAATTAAAGTGAGAATGATAATGAAAAAAGAGAATGAGAGAGCGAACGAAGAAGAGATAGAGAAAAAAAGAGAGAAGAAAGAAATTAAAGACAGAAAGAAACACACCACACTTTCTATCACACCCAACAAACCTGTAAAAATCTCCGTCGCGCCCTTAACTCTCTCCTCACCAGACCTGTTCAACCTGCTGAGTAGCGCGGCACCTCAGCCTGGACTCTCCTCCCTCAAAATATCCTCCACGTGACGGAGTTCTGGCAGAAAGTTACAGCTACCAGGTTAGGGCCTTACACGTTCATCTGGAACGACATCTTCCATGGCTTTCTTAGAGGTACGGGGGAAAGGGATAACGAGTGGAGAATGTGGGAGGGATGAATGGAAGGAGGATAGTATGTAAAAAAATGTGTTAAGGATAGGGAATGAAGACTTGTGGGAAGGATGATGTGGATACATTCAACAGAAGTGGTGTAAATGATAGGGCTGTAGAGAAGGGTGAGAGGGATGGAGCGAAAAAGGATAGATGGAAAGGAGGTAAGATAGGGATGGGGAGAAGAACAGTGGGTAGATGGAGGAAATAAATGTTAAAGAGTAATTTAGGGCAATAAGGGTTAAGAATGTGGGATAGGGATGATACAAAGAGGACAATCATAACTGAAGTGGGTTGGGATAGTAAATATAGTAAATATAGAACGTAGAGTATGATATATCGAAGCGAGAATCAGACAAGAATTCTCACCGCAGATTTAGAAACAGATAACAACAAAACACATTAAAATGATGCTTCTTCCCCTCGGCATCAAGTACTAAGCCACTAACAATCCGCAGGACACACGACCTCACTCAACGCGCTGCGATGTGTGTTTGCCTCAACGATCCTCGCCGTATCTCGCTAGTCCAGCCGATCACCGCGTCCTCTCCGTTGTCACATGCAGCGCTTTGTGTACAGTAGAGGACCGGGGGGGGGGAGAGATTATGCACGTCATGTTCGCATATCATTGCTTTTGTTAAGGATTTTTGCTGATTCAGTTTCATTTAATATTTCACTTTAATGCAAGATTATTATGAAATAGTGTGTATTTTACGTGTATATATCGGTGTGGCAAGAGTAGAGGTGAAGGTTTTAATTGACGAATTATTTAATAAACATCATCAGGCTATTGGTGTGAGATCCCTTATGGACGCGCAGACCTTCAGATATTCTTACTAGTAGTTTCTTGTTAATGAGTGCTGTCTCTATGAGTGGTCCTTGGGTTAGAATATCATTGTTGGCATTTTCTTCTTAATGATTGAGGTTTGTGTGGACCTCTGCGTGTTGATTACTCTTTTTGATGGTTAATTATGCGACAAACAAATTTCAGGTTAATAATCATGATCCTATATATCATTAATTGTTTAGTATTTAGTAGATTTGTCTCTTCGACACTCGCAAGAATCTGGCTCCTGATTTCCCAAAGAAAAAAATATGATCAGAGTGGAACAAATCCTATACACATTCTCTGTTCCATCAACACCGACCTCAACTCCACAGAGCTGCCCGCCCCGCGCCTCGTATTTCGCCTCCGACCTGGACCGAAAGCTGGACACTTCCATGGCCAACCTGTGCCGGGATGGTGTCAAGTCCACCAGCAATTCAATTATCATCAACTCCTTCTTCAAGTGGTTCAGGAGCGACTTCGGTGCCACGGAACAAGATGTTCTCAGGTGGAGAACCGCTCGTTAAAGGGTTTTGTGAAGTAATAGATAAATAGATAAATATATATTGATAATGATAATAATACATAGTGTAATTCAGGAATTCATTATGTGTCAGTGATTTAACTACCTCAACTTAAGTTTGGAATTTAACTTATATAAATATTACTTCTATATTTACCTCATATAAAGGACTTATTGCAAATGAAAACGTTAATAATGATAATTCACAGAACCTTATCACTTATCTTATATCAAAATATAAATGAATGAACACTTCTTGATTTATATTTGTCTCGTCCAGAAAACAAAAAAAATGTAAAATCACTCCGAAGAGCAGAAATGAAAAGACATCAACTTAAATAAATACGAAATAGAAATCATGCCCTTAACTCTTGGCTACTCTTACCCTCAAGATTCCTGGCGACCTGCTCCGATGACCCGGTCAAGAGCAGTGCCCTGAGAGCCGCTGCAGATGGGAGTCGCAACTACACCTACTCCTTCGATTGGACTTTTGATAATTTAAGTCTTACAGATATTTTTCAAGCGCCATTCCTTATAAGGTAATTGGTCGCTACAGTTATCGCTACTACTGGTTGTCTATACAATCCCGCATGCAGTTGCTTTTTAGACTTCGCCTCACGGGTGTATAGAACACGACAAACACCATGGATGGTTTATTGTGGTTTATTAATGCATGGTTTTGATTTGTTTTGTACACCTGTGCGATGAGGTGTTTAAGATGCTGCACGAACGATTGGATCTGACTGCGGATTACATGAACGTCTGTCATCTTTTTTCTTTCCAGTTTTGTCTGATACGATTTGTGCTAGATTTTTTTTCATTTCTTGCTCTTTGCTATTTAGGGCAGGCTTTTGTGCTTCGCATTCCTTTTCTCTAACTTTCTCTTCATCTTCTCGCTATCGCAACCACACAGTGACAAACACAAATGACAAATATCTATACCTCACCAAATACATATTGAAAAACACGAAGCACATTCTCACACTCACAGTGTATATTACGTACACCATGTTTATAAAAGTTCCGCATGATTTAGGTAAGTCAAGGTCGTGGATCGATCTAATAGTCCAGTAACGCCAGCTGACAACCAAGTCTTTCTTCCAGATGTAGAGACAACTGTCGCGGAAATGGGGTCCTCAACAACAGCGACGTTAAGGACGACACCAACTGAACAAATATGGTTGTAGTATATACTCACCTTCCCTTCTTCAAAGTAGATATGTGTTGTATTTGGTGCTGTGCTTTTTGTAGAGATGTTTGTTCTAAAGCCCTTTTGGATAGCAGAACCTTTTGGGTATAATGTGTTTTATATTTCGATTCATGTGTCTTTTTTAATGTTTTTGGGCTTTGTTAATTCATGTTAACTTATATATCTTCTTTAAGTGTTTTGTCCTTTGTTGATTCATGTATATCCCTATCTCATCCCTTGTTCGTTGTCTTGATGTATGCATTATATTCATTGCTTAAGATTACACAAATTACATGAATATTTGCTCTATTTTCATCCTATTAAACAGCTCTAGTTCGTCTTCCGATTCATCCCATGTCTCCTATTTATTTGTCTTCTAGTTATCTTGTGTGTCTATTTGCTTCCTGTAAATTCTTTTCTATATATGTATGTACAAAAACTTTCTGTCTATGTGGTATTTTGTGTTTCGTCTAATAGCTATGAAACCTACTTCTGTGCCATGGGATTTTAGTTTCTATCTATAGTCTACAAAACTATTTATCAGTGTTTTAACGTGAAGAATGTCTTGATAGTAATCATCAACAGCTAAAAAGATTACGTTGTAAGAGCATGCTTTGTGTTCTGAATTATTAATGATTTATATGCATAAATATTATTTCCATTTTTCTCAGCAAATCTTTATAGCACATCGCCCCTTCTGTTCCGTATCTTCGCGCCCACTCTCACTCTTCAACCTAAATAAAAAATCAAAAGAAAATAAATGAAAATCCGGTTTTAGTCTGTGTAATCAATGGTCACATGCTCAACAGCTCTTCCTACCTATTGCCCTTTGAGCCGTGGGCGCCAAACATTTTGGTATCGTTACATCCGATAGTATTCTTATAGATTAGAAGAAGAAAATAGAGTATTTAATTCTTTATGCATTTTATTTGCAAGAAATTATTTCATATACTCTTGATTATCATAGATATCAGCTTATCTCCTTTTATATCATCTATCAATTTATCTCTTCATTTGTTTATTATTATTATCATTTATCAATTTATCTCTTCATTTGCTTATTATTATTATCATTTATCAATTTATTCCTCGACCTACTCCTATTACCATGAGCCTCGTTACACCCCAGAATCCACATTAACCCCAGCTTAAGAATCAGTACTTTCGACTCACATCCTCAGCATTACAGCGGTTATTGTTACAACTTTTAAACACTGCGATCATTTTCATGTGTGTGTGTATGCGTATGTGTTTCCCTTTCTTTATATATATATATGTATGTATTGGTAATATGTATGTAAATATATCATCATCGGGGGGAATAACGCCGACGGGGGCACATGGCCGCATCCACCTTTCGCTTTCAACCACGAGGGTCCTTCATGGCGAGTCTCCAGGCAGGTTTTCGTGACAGGCCTGGTCAAGCTGCCTAATCCATGACCTCCTAGGTCGTCCCATGGGCCTCATCTACTCAGGATTGTCGACGACCTGATGGGCAGCGTTATTCACAGGGAAGCGAACTAGTTGCCCATATAGCTTAAATTAGCGATCCCGGATTATGCCCACGGTGTAGCCATCGGTTGGATACATGGTCCTGCCAACTATACCCCATGATTTGGCATATGGACATGTTACAAAAGGCATCAAGGTAAGAATCCAAGGCACTGGATAGAGTCCAGGTTTTGCTTCCATAGATAAAAACTGGTAGTATCAAGGCCTTGAACACACATAGCTTGGGCCGTCTGCATAGGTACTGACATCCCTAAATACTCTTGTTGACCGAGTTCATGGCTCTTACTGCCAGACCAATCCGTTTACTGACTTTCTGGTCTGACAGCCCAGAGACATGGACTGGACTACCAAGGAATGTAAAGCTCTGTGAGACTTCAATTACCTTGCCACAAGCATGTACCGACTGTAAAAGCCCTAACATGCCTTGGTCCAGGAGACCTCTAGGCCCAAGGGCTTCGTTTCAATGCTAAATGCATCAAGAGCTACCACCAGTGATTCCAGAAACTCAGATAGGATAGCAACATCGTCGGCAAAGTCGAGCCATTAGCGGTTCAGCAGGGATATCACATATGCCTGCAGCTTTGCCACCCTTCAGCTTAGAGATAATATCGCTGATGGGTGGGTAAGGCACAAGAATTGTGACACCACTTGTGGCCAGACTAACTGCTGAAGGATCGACCTGGTACAGCTGTTCAAAATACTCAGCCCAATGTTTATGAACCCCAACATGATCTGACATGTTCCGTTCATCCACTCAGCAGACTGAAATCATCTGCAAAAAGGGCGTGAAGTTCAGTTTGCTCAGGGCTTGGTCGGCAGGGCGAAGGTCACTTACTAAGAAATGGTCTTCAATCTCCTCAGCAAGGTTCTGAAGAACTGTTCCTTGTCCTTTCTCAGTAGTGTCTGAGCCCTTTGCACCAAGGAACAGCAGACTTAGAATCCCAGAGCTACTGGGTCCGTCAGACTTTCCGGGCGCACTCCTCACTCAATCTGCCCAAATGAAAACACCCTGGAGTGGCCTCTGGAGTGACGTGGATGATCCTGAACTTCAGGATCATCATTTGAAATCCCAGGTAGTTCTGGTGAAGGAGGCCAGAAGAAATTCTGCTCCTTCCTTTCAAAGCAGCATCAGTTGTGTTGAACTCGGATCTGAAGTGTCTCCACTCTTGGGGAGATGAATTTTTGTGTATAATGCCCACTCGATTTGCGACGAATGTGCGGAACCGACGAGAGGTTTTCATGATGTACTGTAGAATAATAGCACTATCAGTCCAGAACACAGAGTCATCAATAGGCAAAGAGAGTTCCTTCCGTAACTTTGCATCTGATGTGGCTGCCAAGACTGCTGCTGACAACTCCAGTCTGGGGATGGTAGTTGTCTTTATGGGAGCCAGTCTCGTTCGTGCCAGAATGAGAGCACAGTGAGTGACACCCGACACATCTTGTACCCTCAAGTAAGAGACAGCTGCATAGGCCTTCGTGGATGCATTACAGAAATGATGTAGCTGCACACTGATGATTCTTCCAAAATTTGTGGGCACTATGCATCTGTTGACACAGAAACCTTTCAGTTCCTTTAATTTGCTGAGCCGTGCATATGGAATTCTGTGAGTCAAGCTCTTCATCCCATCCTCGTTGACGTCTCACTTCCTCTTGGTAGATCATCTTTGCTCTCATTGTGAATGGGGCTAGGAAGCCGAGTGGATCATATACTGACCCCATAATACTTAGCATCCCCTTTTTGAGATTGGCTTGTTCGGTAGCATATCACTCTCCAGGCTCCACAGGACTCCTAAGGCTCTGTCGGTTAGTAGGTCCTGATTTGTTAGATCAATATCTTTAACAGGAGGACTCCTGTCCTCCTGTGGGATTGCAGGAATAACTTCTCTTGAATTGCCACTGAGTTCTAAAAAGCCCTTCAACTGCTTTGCTTGGTGAATGGCAATTGCTTCATTCTAGACAGACATCAAGAGGTAATCTACATAGTAGTTCTTTTTTTTATCTGCTAATTTGGTTTTAGATAGCGTCTTTAATAGAGCGAATGACGCGCATGGGCTCCAAACACCACCGAACAAGTGCACAATCATGCGATACAGTTTTGGCTTCACAGAGAAATCCCCTTTAGGCTACCACAAGAACCTTAGAACATCACGATCCTTTGGAGTGACCTTTACTTGGTGAAACATGGCCTTGATATCAGCGGCTACCGCAACTCTTCTTTCTCTAAACCGAAGCAGGATACTCAGCAAGTCATTCATCAAGTTTGGGCCTTGCATGACCTATTTATTTAGGACGGTGCATTCAAAACAAGCAGCACAGTCGAACACTATGCGTATTTTGAATACCGGCTGGTGTGGGAAGTACCATGTCTTCCCTGGTGGTCCTTCTCCCTGTGCCTGTTCAGCATGTTCTTCTTGGAGAAACTTCTCCATTTCTGCTACATATTTAGTCTTTGAAGACGCATTTTCAGGCCAGTGAGTCGTCTTCTCACCATAATCCAAATGTCTGGTAACTGGGGCTCAGTTTCCTTAACCCATTCGCGCCGGGCGTCACGTATACGTGACGGGCCCACTGTGAGTTTACTTGTTTGATTGTTTAAATACATAGATGGCTCCACGTGCACTTGTACTGCCTGTCTCGTCTGTTTACCCTTTTCTTTAATTTACGAAATTATTTTGCGTTATCTTATTTTGCTGTTACTAATGTTTATAACATTATAGTAGTTATAATGTTTATAATAAAAATAACCATCAATACTCATAGCACTAGTAAAAATACATTTTCCCGCCAAATGAAATCAGGTAAAGCAGAGCCATCTAGTGTAGAGAAATTTCATTA